CCTGTCTCTTATACACATCCCTACTGGGCTAAACTAGAAGGGTTACCCTCTTTAAAGATGGTTGAAATAAAAAATTAAAAAAATAAATACCCACTCTGACCCAAGACCCCTGTTACGCGCCTGGTGTTAGCGCCAATGTGTGCCCTTTTGCGGACAGGGGATGTGCCCCCCTCCCCTCTCTGAAGCTGGAAACCTTGTTTTTGCAAAATAAATTGATGCAATTTGCTATTATAGGCCTAATCAATAAATTCCTCATCAACCGATATAACCTTAAACATTCTTGGAATTGACATAACTTTACTGATGTCGTACACACCCTTCAGTGTGAAATGTGGCTCTCTTTGCAAGCATCTAACATCTAAGGAAAGAAGAGCTTTGACTGGTACCAGATAAAATAATTTTGTTATCAACATTAATACATTATGCTAATTTTCATCTTTGTAAGCGCATAAGACAGTGCAAATTATTTCTGTGACAGTCTTTTGAAGTGCTCCATTTTATCCCATACATAGTCAAAATATTGGGGGGGGGGGAGATGATACAATGGACCATCCCCCTTGTCAAATATTGGGGGGGATATATCCCCCATCCCCCGGGATCTACGCCTATGGTGGTCAATATTTAGTATGAATATATATACAATATTAATATTTAATTAAATATTAATATTTAATTAAAACTATACTATACTACAGCAATTGCTGACTTCGTGTTAGTCTATGCACTCATTTGTGAAGTACAGTACAATAACCCTAGGTGGTAGTGAGACACAACAATGCAACTGCAAATATATATTCTTGCTAGAACATGTTCTCTGCATGCGACCACATAATGGTCGTACGATGGACTTGCATCACTCCACTACAAGCGACTAAAAGAAAAGGTGGGTTAAAATTACATTAATTACCCAACCTTTCATTTAACGACAAAATGATTTACCATTATGACGACGACAAATGCTTGGGTTATAGCTTTACAAAAATTTATCATTAGTAGAGAAGAAATGTCACGAAAGAAGTGCCGGTAATGGGTGAACCATCAGATCATCTTTCAAAGTTGCAGAGTGACTGAGTACGTGTGAAAGTTTTGGAAGAAGGAAAAAGCTATGACACGTGTGGCTGAACCGTGTCCAGTTGAATCATGGTATAAAAAAACAATTAACAATATGTCGGCAGAAAAAACACAATTGTACTGTATTATTTCTTTAATAAAATACTATTTAATTTGAATACAATGCGATTTTGTCACTGAGAGAACAGATAATGATGTAAATCTATTGTATATACATGGAGGCTTTATGATCAAAAGTTCTTGCCAGGTTTTGGTATGTTGGCCCCTGGCACGGCTGGGCTGCTAGGCCGCAGATTGGTGCCTGGAATCGTAAATAGGTCGTGAAGCAAAAGTTTGCTCTAGACCATCAACTTCAACAACGATACATAAATCAGCCTTCACATCGTATGACAGAGTACAATCACATACCTAACAGGAAGGTAATTAATTTAGAAAAAGAACTATCTTTGCAGGAGCTAAACACAAAGAATCACTATGGTTAGGAGAGAAAGTGGACAAAATAAACAGGGATGAGGAAGCATATAAACTCAGTAATATCTATGAAGTTTTAAAGTAACAAACACAAAGGAGGCAGGGGATCCCAAGGTTCTGCCCATTAGAACAGGGAAGAAGACATGTCATTTAACTGATGAAGTTTGCCAAAGATAGACAAAACATCTTAAAATTAGTTAAACCAATTTAGTTAAACCAAAAATGAAACATGATTATTTGGAATACAATTCTGACGCTTTACTATACTGACCTAAATTTCCCGATTTGACAATACTGTAGTCTTTCCCAATGCAAATACTAAAAGGCCTCCGACAAGAACCACATCATACCTTAAATTGCAAAAGAATTTCATCTGCTATGAAATATCAGGGAATGTCAGAAACAGCCAAAAATCACTACTTGGTAACACAGCAGAAGCAAGTAAACCTATCACCAGTTACCATGCTTTAAATTGTACACTATGTTGCGACTCTGTTTTCAACCGATTCTACCACCACCACGTACAACCAAAAATATAAAACCATCAAGCATCTTGCCTAAAGATAACAACAGTGGATATAATCACAAGGCAAAGAAGTGTGGCAAAATTTAATGTTCATACACAGACTTGATAAGAAGGATTGTACACTATAATACGTTTTGTATGGAAGGATAAAAAAGCAAGAGGAAATACTCGCACACTCAATTATGCCACCGAAAATCAACAAAACTGATATTTATTCTTGTTTTGAAATGGTTCATCAATGTATGCTTAACCACACGACAGACCCTAAGTTTGCAGGCGAACTTAAATCTGATTTATCACACTTGGCACATCATTATGTTGCATCTTATCATCCATCCCCACAATGATTTGAAAAAACTGGGGATACTAAAATAACTGCGCAAGAACAGCTGTACAGTAATCAACAAACTGGATTTTAAGAAGAACAGAGTCTTTCTATTCATTGCACGAGTGCTCTTTTTTTTTTGCGTATGCGTTTTATAGAAGATTGTTTATTTGGTGAATAATGAGTGATACACTGCTTGCACTATGATATTAAACTTCCTGAAGGTATACACAACACAACAAAGAAGACTACAAAAAGGTCATTATGTATATATTTTACACAAATTTCAACAACTCAAAAATGATCCCACAATAACCAGAGACATTAATTTACCGGAAGGATGGACACACACACACACACACACGCTATTGCCCTACCCTCACCTCTCCTTCAGAGAGGAAGGGTAATAAAGTATTCATTTGCAAATAAGCTATGTTCTTCTTTTGTGAAACACCTTCATAACTACATATATTAATGCATTCAAGCACATAATTTACAAACATGACTTACATTTAATGCTTTCTTAGAACTGAAGGCTTTGCAATAATGCTGCGCAACTCGTTCTTTTCTGTAGATAAAAAAAATAAAAACATTAACAGACAGCAAATAGAAGCATTGTCAAGGCAGAGAAAAATATAATTTTAATGCAATAGAAATCTAAATATATTCAGCGGCAGATCAAGAGATGTACGGGGGGAGGGGGGACTTAGGCTCTCTATTTTTAACAAGTACCTTAGGGCTTTATGAGGGTTCAATTTTGTCTCGTTTCAATTTGTTTGTCTGTTAATTGTATGTATATGGATTTTGACAAATAAAGACTTTTGTATTTGTATTGAATTTGAAATAATTATTATCGCTAAGCAGCAGGTTCACAGAAAAAGGTATAAAATGTGCTGAAACACATATATTGTGCAGTACTAATAAAAAAATGTATATGAACCAAATAAGTATAAGGACAGTGATATACACAATACAAATATTTGAGTTACAGTATGCTACTCTTAATATACTGTAGTTAGTATACTTGGTATACATTACATACCGTTCCTCTTTAGTTAAATGACAAACTTCTCTAGCACGATCACCATTGATGAATCTGTAAAAAAAGCCAGAAATAAGACATGAATATGCTATTAACGCACTAAAGCTTAAGTTGACCAAACTATCAAATTTTCATTGAAAAAAAAAGTGTTGTATTCCCATATATAGTCATGATGTACCTATATATGGTCTATGGTAATGATGTGATGTCATTATGATCATATTTAGGCATGTCACCTGTTTCTTGTCAAATAAAATTGGAGACTAGACAGGGCTTAACTCCTTATTTCCATATATAATCATGTTGTGCCTATATATGATCATGATGTGATGTCATCACAACAATATTCAGGCAGTTTGCATGTTTAAGGTTACGTGCTTCAGTTAGGCAATACCAGAGCAATCTAAAAATACTTATTTAACGGTAAGTAGTTCCCAATCACCTTGTTTTAAAGCAATCACCTTTATTTGCTTAAATCCTATGAACATCACTCCAAACCATATGTCCAAATCAAAAATCTCCTGCAATTAGAAGTTTCTCCCCAATTCTAACCTCTAAGGTTTTAATGTAATGGGACCATTTTACAAGAGCCTTATGATTACAAAACTTTTAAAGCTGAAAATTAGCCAAAGGTGTTCAACTCAGGACCATGTAAAGAAATTGAAGAAAACGAGCACACTTTGTACAACAGACTCCAGGGTTTTATCACGGTCGTTGAAAGCTGGATTAACTTGTTATTAAAAGGTGTTTATTTATTCTTTGCAGATTTTATTCAAATATAATAGCAAAATAAATTACACATACACAGTGGAATGAGAGATGTGTCTATGGTGAGCAAACTGATCAAACTCTACTACCATTAACATACTTTCACAATTTAAGTTGTTTTTAGAATTTTTAAAAATTAAGTCATCAAAATTAAGACATTTTGATTACACCAAACATTTAATGTGTGTGTGTGGGTGTGTGTGTGTGAGCTGTCCACCAGTTGTATTTCTCAATGAAGAGAATGAAATTCTTTATAGTAGATTAACGTGATGACAGCCAGTGCCTAAAATATTGTTAAAGGTCGCAGAAATTAGCTAGTAATATAGTCAGCAATTAATACATCCAGATTGCAACTACATCTATGCTAATTAATACTCATGTGACATGATCTGTTGTTATGGCTGTTGAAAATAGAAATTAAATTATTGTGAAAAAGGATGAATATTCATCCATACTTCCCTGATTACCCTACAACTACACACAATAAACAGAAAGACATTACAGCAGTGATTTAATCATGCACATGGGAATTAAACACAATATTTTGCAAGCTTCCTTCCTAATTAAAAAAAACCAATCAGGTAATGTTTTGTTAAAAAAGTCTTCATTATTTCATTTAATGATACTGTACATATTTGATGTTTATTAATTCTTAGTTAAGTAAATGCAAGACATTAGAAACCTAGGCCAGCCTATAGAAATTGGCTATATCACTGAGGTGCACTGGCATGACTGATTATTTTTTACATATTGCTTGACTTTCCAGTCAGATTCAGATAGATTCAGATATATTTATTCAGATAACAATGAATGAATGAACTGAAATTGAATAAATTATAACTCTTTTCCCTGACAAATTCTGATAATTACAATAATGTCCACCAAACAGAATGAATAAATCTAATTAAAAATTTGGATAAGAAACAGTAAAACTGCTTTCACTTATAGTACTGTATATAGTCAATACTATTAAATCAAAATCTCCTAGGTATATCATAGAAAGTAACATCACCATATCTACTAAAAACTACTGTACATATAATATTTGTATTAGCTATATTTTACACACAAAAGTTCCAAAAAGCTAGATTTGCTTGTGCACATTCAGACTGGTCGAAGAGAGGTCTGTTGCTAATAGCAAAAGGCATCTAAAACCAAGTGTTATTTCAAAACGGTATTTCCATTTCTAAGGAAAAAAGTACTATCTACAAACTACTATTTTTTGGTATGTGCCATATTTCTGAAAAAGGAAACACTCTAAACCATATATTATTTATTATGATTAGTTGAAACAATTGAAAAAACAAAAAAAAAACAATATCACAGACTTACACAATGAAGTAGATTATGTTAGTTCGTGAATACAAAAAGGCATGTCAAAATATTCTTTACCACACAAAAATGCTGTAACAACAGCTGTGTGTATTTTAACATGTTTTATTGATATCACGAACTAACACATTCTACTCTCATTGTGTTAGTTTGTGATGTGTTTGACGAAATCTTGGGACACTTACCCTACCAATCCTGGGTATGAGCCATCTGGTTTGGTGTCATCTTGTGTACCGGAGATGATACCATCACCAAGAACAATTCCGCAGTAATCTAAAACAATAAATTGTATTTTATATCATGCTAAAATTTGCTGTAGTAGAGAGAGTGTATACGTCATTATTTAAACATTTACTTCAATTGTGTATCGGTTCTTGAACATCCTAAGAAGTGGGTCATGGCAAATTGCCAGGTTCTTCCATCTTTGTCTAACATCATCACTGCAGACCTTGCAGACCATCTCATTACAGATTACAAGTTGTGCATAATTTACAGTAGTAGTTTAGTAACTATGATATAGTATAATTTAATATTTAATGATTTAAATACAAGCGTGTGGGACTGAAAGAACATAACAACACAAAGCTACCTTTGCATTGTAAAGCCAGTACTCACTGTGCGCGACGGCGTTTCGATGGAGATGCGATGGCAACACGACGACGGACACATGCGACAGCGCGGAACCAATGGATCGCCTGTTTTATGAGGATCCGTTCAGACTGCCAATGACAATCAGCAGACAACATTACATTGTCTATTGCTCGCCGGAAGCAAAGGTAGATTCGCCGTGCGACGGTCGTAGGAAGCATTGAGTGACCGGCTTAATTCTAAACCTTACCAAGTTCCCTCCACCAAGCAGTGTCATAGTATGTTATTGTTTTGATGCATGAACCCATTGGTATTCTTTGAATTAACTGCAAGAAATAACAAATAAATCTATACTATATTGTTCCCTGTGCTTCCTCATTGTAAATTATTAAAAAATATGGGAGAAAAAGAAAATTATCATTAAGTGCTGTGTCACTGGAGGTTAGAATTCCAATGGAAAGGAGTGCAAAACCCCACTGAATGGAGCCAAAAAAAGTGAATTAACTGTCTCTAGAGTTCCACACAGGGATATCTGGCCTTGGAGACCCATTGTGGTATAAAGTTGGGAATTTGACGCATTCAAGCATGTGAGCTGTAGATTGCAAATTAAGCACACCTGTAATCACTTTAGCTAAGCAACGATGATTGGGCATGGTCCAAGTTTACAAAGTTGATATCATAGCCATGTATCCCTAATTTGGCTTCATATTACAGTAACTTATATTTTAGAAGCTAAATATGGGACAAACCATCCGGTATAAAAATTCAATCACACTTACCTGATTTCTAAGAGCTGGTAACGGTGGACTAAATGCTATCCTTCCGATTATTGCTTGAGGGACAGCACTGATTACGAAAGAGGCCTAGAAAAAAATAAAGGCAAACATAATTTTAGTTGATTTAGTTTGATTAGTGTATTTATTAAATGGCAAAAAAATACATATTCAAAGATTGCACACCTGATATACTTCTCCAGATACAACAGTTACCATGACAACATCACCTTTAGTTTGATCAATCTTGCTGACAGGATTAGACAAGAGCACACGTGCTGTAAGACACATTTAATCAGATGGTGACTGAAGATAATGCATGATATCGGTAATAACATGATGATGGTGAAGATGATGATGGACTTAATGAAGATGGTGATCAACAATTTGTCACCCTTTTCAAGAAGGAGACACAAACATCAATTTTGACCAAAAAAAACATTTTCAAAATAACATGCTTGAAGTGAACTAGTTCATAAAAGCGATTCCAAGCGAATTTAGTACTCACTGTGGAATTCTTATTTTCAATGTCCTCCTTTTGTCACTTGAAATCAGCAGAGTTAAATCAGTCCATGTGATCAGAGCTTTGATTCTAAGCTTAATGTGGACACTTAAAAACAGTAAACTCCTGCCCACCCCCCAGATTTTAACGTCAGCAATTCATAGACTTAAACAACTACTGTGAATAAATACATTTTGTTGATTAAACTTTATTTCTAAACTCAAAAAAGTGGAAGTAATGCGAACATGGACTTGTGGTTTCTGATTGCAATAGCAGCTACATATTGCCGAAGGAAAGTCAGAAAAATATTGGTCAATAAACTATAAAAAGTTATACTGAAATATTCTTATATTTGTGCATATACTAATAAAAATGTGAAAAATGTCTATTTTAAGGAGTAAGGTAAAGATAAAGGTAGTCCCATATTCATTACTCAGAACATAGGGAAATGAGCTGTGAGCCCATTGTACTAAGCCTTGGTATTGTGTGGTAGGGTGGCCAGTTCCTTTCCACACTGCCTTTTTTCCTCCCCAGTAGTAAACCACTCCTGGGTAGAGAGAGACAAACGTAGATAAAGTGCCTTGCCCAAGTACACAAGCGACTTGCACAGCGAGAGTTCCGAACCTCTGACCTCAAGGTTGGGAGTCCAAGCCACAACCTTGTCAAAAATGTTCATTTTAATGTCATTTTTTCTATAGTTTTGGTGACTCTCATAGTAACGCCATTGGCTATTAATAGAGCAGTGGATTATTATTAGAAGTTTTATGGTAATACAATACGATAATACTGCATACTATAACATTCAGGGGTTAGGAACATCATGCAAATATGGTAAAATGCAACACAATGATTCTTTCTGAAATAATTCAGAATCCAAATAAAGAGTACATAGTATCCCACAATTAACTGATTTGCGTAGGGATATATACAAGGATACACCAAAAAAAAAAGTAAGGTGGGTTAGGTGGTGGGGAAAATTTTTTATGAGGGGTCAAAGGTCATTGACCCCAATCTAAACTTCTAAAAACTGTATATGATTGATCTTGGTGTCAAAATGCACAGAAATATATAGCAAAACAGAAAATAATACTGAAAGCCCTCATAATCGATTCTTGACTTTGAAAATTTAGGTCAAATATCAAAATGTCAAAAATGGTAGTTTTAGTCACTATTAAAATTGGCATATATCATTTTAACATTACAGTGATTGTGATTTCAACTTATTTATAGAATACACCAAAACAAAGTTAGGGTGAGAGGAGATTGGGGAAATTTCTTTTTTGGGGTTAAAGGTCATTGACCCAACCTAAAACACTTTAAATATGTATCTTGAGAACACTATAATATATGGTTGATTTTGGTGTCAAAATGCACAGAATAATACAAACACCAAGAAAACAATATAAAAGGACTCTCATAACCAATTTATTACCTCAAAAAATGAGGTCAAATGTCAAAATGTTAAGAACTGTTATGGTAATCGATCTGGATCAATTTTGCAACTGGCTGCTTGCTTATGAAATTTCAGATAACAAGCAATTCCAATAGGATTATCCCCACACCTATATGTTATCTGCATTGTTATCCAGCGTTTCGGATTGTGGATTCAGTTGACTTAAAACTTGCAAATGCTGTTATATTTGGGTAAGATGCTCATTATTCAATAGTATATGACACCGTTTCCAGAATTTCTGGACATATCAAATGTGCTCTTTTTGGACTTATCAAACTTTGAGGAGTAGCTGCATTAAAAGTGGGATATCATGTGTTTCTGCTTGTAAGGTTTGCTATGGACATTGTTCAAATGGAGTGCTTGCAGACGAAGTTAGTGATGAAGAGGAATCAGAAGAGGAAGCCGACTAATTTAGATACATATTTGTTAAAGATGTACTGTCATCAGTCAAAAATACAGGAAAATACATACAAAATTTACATAAAATTATGAATAGTTTATTTAAAATGATCAAACAAAAATATTAGCTTCCAATGAAAAACGGATTGAAAAGAAGTAGTTTTACTGATTTACAGACATTTTTAAAAAATCGTTAAATTGATTACTAGCCAATTTAAGGATACTGTATATAGGCAAATGAATACAGGAACTGTCCAAAAATTGAGGGGAGTTTTATTTTTTCTCTATTCAAATTTTTAATTTGAAGTTAATAATTTACCTAAATATACAAATTCAAATGTGAAATTAGAATTTTCGTTTTCATGACTGATAGTAGGCCTACGGCAGCGTTCCGCAAACTGTTTACTTCACAAATTTTTACGACTCCAGGCACTAACCTGAGGCCCAGCAGCCCAGCCGCTCCAGGGACCAAAATACCAAAACCTTGCAAGAAGTTTTGATCATTAAGCCTCCATATATGTTCTCTCAGTGCCAAATTAAGTAGTATAATAGTAACAGTAAAGAAATAATACTGTACACTTTTGTTTTCCTCCGACAAATATTAACTGTTTTTTCTACTACGATTCAACAGAACACTGTTCAGCCACATGAAATACAGTAGCTTTCTCCTTCTTCCAAAAACTTTCACACACACTCAAGGGGCTGTCTCTTATACACATCTAGATGTGTATAAGAGACAGTTCTAGAGGCTTTGAAAAAACATGACATTTTCATATTTTTTATATTTTCAAAATTATGTAATTTCAAATTCCTATATATTTTTATACATCCACACAAGAAAAGTTACATCAATGAATCCTAAAAATTCATTTTTTAAGCTTTAGTTTGATATAAAACTTGTTTACATCCCTCAAAGTTGAAAATTTACTAAATCTGAAAAAAAGTCATGGAATTGCCCAAATACTGTTATATTAGGGTAAGATGCCCATTATTCAATAATATATGACACCGTTTCCAGAATTTCTGGACATAGCAAATGTGCTCTTTTTGGACATATCAAACTGTGAGGAGTAGGTGCATTAAAAGTGGGATATCATGTGTTTCTGCTTGTAAGGTTTGCTATGGACATTGTTCAAATGGAGTGCTTGCAGACGAAGTTAGTGATGAAGAGGAATCAGGAGAGGAAGCCGACTAATTTAGATACATATTTGTTAAAGATGTAGTGTCATCAGTCAAAAATGCAGGAAAATACCTCCAAAATTTACATAAAATTATGAATAGTTTATTTAAAATGATCAAACAAAAATATTAGCTTCCAATGAAAAACGGATTGAAAAGAAGTAGTTTTACTAATTTACAGACATTAAAAAAAAATCGTTAAATTGATTACTAGCCAATTTAAGGATACTGTATATAGGCAAATGAATACAGGAACTGTCCAAAAATTGAGGGGAGTTTTATTTTAAATTCTCTATTCAAATTTTTATTTTGAAATTTACCTAAATATACAAATTCAAATGTGAAATTAGAATTTTCGTTTTCATGACTGATAGTAGGCCTACAGCAGCGTTCCGCAAACTGTTTACTTCATAAATTTTTACGATTCCAGGCACTAACCTGAGGCCTAGCAGCCCAGCCGCTCCAGGGACCAAAATACCAAAACCTTGCAAGAAGTTTTGATCATTAAGCCTCCATATATGTTCTCTCAGTGCCAAATTAAGTAGTATAATAGTAATAGTAAAGAAATAATACTGTACACTTTTGTTTTCCTCCGACAAATATTAATTGTTTTTTCTACTATGATTCAACAGAACACCGTTCAGCCACATGAAATACAGTAGCTTTCTCCTTCTTCCAAAAACTTTCACACACACTCAAGGGGCGTCGGAAGCTATTTTTATTGGTCTGGCCAAATATACATAATCATCATTGCATTAACATGACTTCTTTTCATTAGTTTTGTCTGTGTCTATAGCTCAAAACACGCACTATTCTATTATATCAATCATTCATACTTGTACTAAATATATCATTTAACCATTCATGCGTTATCATTTATATTTGTCACCATGGGATTTCATAAATATTAATGTACGTACAAGTATAGTAGTTAAACATTGCTTTAACAGTAGAAATGATATATTTAAAAATGATGTTTTACACTAGCTGATGTATTACCATACGGCCTGCTAATATGTTGCAAAAAAAATACTCTAAAAGAATTTACACGTATTCGTCTCAAACCAGGGCCATAGCTTCAGCTACGGGTTGTATGCATGTATATTGGGCGGCCAGGGCCATGTCATAGTAATTTTTTTAATAAAAAAAGTGTAAATCGATCAGTAGGCCTATCTATCAGTTAATAAGTATCTAATCAAAATTGCTGATTTTCCCTGGCTTTTGTCCTACCACCCTGACCGAGACTGTTGTAGGGCCTGAGTAGAACCCCTGTAGAAATGTACAGTACCTTATTCTAATATTGACCCTCCACCCAAAGTTGATACACCCGATTCTTATTGCTCTATTGAGTACTTATCACCTGGTAGATCTGTACATATGATGGGAATACCTACATACATGGTTCTCCTGCCATTAATAAACCAAAACTTGACTAAATAATAATACTAAAAAATATACTAGCAGTCTGTTATTTGAAAATCTAACATATTCACCTAGCTTAATTCAAAAGACATTTAATAGGTTTACTAAATAATACATAGCATATTGTACCCTGTGTCCCTGTGTATTCATAACACATGTTAATTTATTTTAATAGGCTACATCTTTTTATAGGCTATGTATTTCACAATATCCGTCAACTCGTATACATATAATAGTTGCACATTCATTGTTATTCATATTGCATTATATACGGTAATTGGTGATCCGCTACACTAGCGGATCACCTATTGTTATTGTACGGAATAATCTTTTTTTTATTCTTCTTTCTTTCTCCCCTTTTCTGTTCGCACGATATCTCAAAAACTGCCACGAGTAACGAAAAATCGCTGTCAGCGAATATTTGGCTTGGTCTGGAATAGTCATGGTAAGCTTTTCAACGCGCTCAGTCATGCGTGACGTCATCTACGCGCAATTTTGCATTTTTACATTATCGATCATATCAGCCTAACCATTTGCCATTTCGAAATCGTATTAAGTGAGCATTAACTTCGGGTTAATGTTGAATGTACTGTTCCCTAATTTGACGTTTGCGCTTCACTACTCGCGCGTACGCGTGCGTCAAAATTTCAAAATGCTCAAAATCACTTTTTGACTAAATTAGAGCATGTTTTAGGCCATTTTGAGCATTTCAAATTTTTTTGAAATTTTCCACTACGAGCGCGCATTTTTACGTGCGCAGCACATACGAAAGCTAGAAATTACGTTATTTTACATCTTTTGGGTTCCTGACATTGTTTCCACAAATTTCCATTCTTTTCGGTCATCTTTTGGCCAATAGCAATACCGTACATGCGCATCAAACATAGGTATCTTTGCGCGTATTTGTGGCGATATACAGTGATACTATGCTAAAATCAGACCTATTTTTAATCAGTTATAGCTCCTTAGGTTGAAAGATGACCCCCAATTTTTATTACATATTCTGAAAGCACATAAGTTGCAAATATGATTTTGTAGATCATAATGGCTGATCGGACATTGTGACGTCATCATATTGGCATCTGAATTCAAAGAAAGTGAATTATAGCTATGACGTCATTTTTGAAAATACGCATTTGAGCGTATCTCGCGCTTATCCTTGGTCGATCGTCTTCCAACTTTGAGTATGTTATAGCTGAGACAGTTCTCTTTCATATATTTGACTTCTTTTTACATTTTAATGACGTCATCATGGTCAAAAAAATTGTTTTTTCTGACCCCCTCATTTCTCTTTCTTCAAAAGGTTGATGACCCCATATAATCTTAACCATTTGTCATTTCTAAATCATATTAGGTGAGCATAAGCTTCAGGTCAAGGTTGAATGTTATGTACCTTAATTTTCCGTTTGCATTTTTTAGCGTGCACGTACGCGTGCGTCAACATTTATATATGCATAAAACCATGAATATTTTTAATCAGTTATAGCTCCTTAGGATGAAAGGTGACCCCCAAATTTTATTACATATTCTGAAAGCACATAAGTTGTAAATATGAT